ACCACTGTGGTGTGTGTGGTAGCCCCTGGGGACACCACTGTAGTGTGTGTGGTAGCCCCTGGGGACACCACTGTAGTGTGTGTGGTAGCCCCTGGGGACACCACTGTGGTGTGTGTGGTAGCCCCTGGGGACACCACTGTAGTGTGTATGGTAGCCCCTGGGCACACCACTCCCCACAACATATTTTCAAGAGTCACAGAACCTTTAATATACTGATGTAACAGCAATTTTTAAAATATTTCCCCAAAATATATTTTCCATCGACGCTTGTAAGGCTGAGTATAGGAACAGAACAGACTCTGGGAGGTAGTTGTACTAACACCCGTTCCCTAGATTTGACACTCCGTCAAAATTGCAACTGTTGTGCGTAACCCAGAAGCGTACGAATGCCAAAAGAAATCCACCTAAAGTTATCGAGGGTGATGCAGGGAAGAGGTCAATATTACCTTGCTCTAATGTTTGTTCAATATCTTGTATTTCTAGCAGGAAGGGGTCTGTTTGAGGGTTATCTTGAGGTTATCTTGAGATGATTTCGGGGCTTTTAGTGTCCCCGCGGCCCGGTCCTCGACCAGGCCTCCACCCCCAGGAAGCAGCCCGTGACAGCTGACTAACACCCATGTACCTATTTTACTGCTAGGTAACAGGGGCATAGGGTGAAAGAAACTCTGCCCATTGTTTCTCGCCGGCGCCTGGGATCGAACCCAGGACCACAGGATCACAAGTCCAGCGTGCTGTCCGCTCGGAGGGGGTGAACGCCACAGAGAGAAAAAAACACTAGTAGATATATCATGTCCTTGTGACGTACCTGTGTACGTACTCTGTTAAGACGTACATACACGTACTCCCATACAACTAGCATGAATAATACCATTGGAAGGGAAACTTATCCCAGATGGAATAACGTCACTCAATATGCAGGCGATGAGTCACAATAACGTGGCTGAAGTATGTTGACCAGACCACACACTAGAAATTGAAGGGACGACGACGTTTCGGTCCGTCCTGGACCATTCTCAAGTCGATTGTCACTCAATACCTTGTCATTGGAATGTGAAGAAAGTTAACCGTAATATTTTAACAGCAACATTTTAACTGTTGTTAAAATGATTCTGGTAATTAAAAGTGATTTGGTTTAATGGTGGCACTTACTGAATTGTTATAAATGTTGATTGGGTGGTAATAAACCCACAACACTGAGGAACTCGAGGGTAAATCTTGACCGGGTCACCCTATATCCTGACATTAATGGCCATAAATGAATGATAAACGGGTTTCGGATAGACACTTAACTTGAATTGTAGACATCATGTTGGGATGGTACCTTTGTTTCCATAACACTACGTCCAAGTAAAATTAACAGGAGCCGAATTTGCTCCCGTGTGAGCCTCTGGTCTCAATATAAACACAATGGCTGTTTAACACTCCATACTATTGACGTTACTGGCCGACATTGTCCAGAAAGATAGGAGCTAAATTTGCTCCACACGTCTCGGAGGTGACACAACAATGGCTGCCTCCTTCCTCCCTCTGACGCCTGGTTACTTTGTCCAGATTTCAGAAAGTGATAGAAGGGTCACATTTACTCTACTTTAATATTGATAATTAAGTTAATTTATATAAGATGTTTTTATGATGGTAGTCCAAAGGTAATGTATTTATATTCCCAGCAGAATAGCTGGTGAATTATAATAGTATGGTGATGATATCCCGTTTTATATACCAGGTAATTCCACTACAAGGTACGTTTTCTATGGGTCATGTGTTTATACACAGCTCTTATCTGTCTGTATGATATTAAATGGTGTCGGATTTTCCGACAGTGATGTTTCAGGAGGCCGGGTAACTGGTCATGTGTTATACACAGGTGGTTATATACCAGGTCATGTGTTATACACAGGTGGTTATATACCAGGTTATGTGTTATACACAGGTGGTTATATACCAGGTCATGTGTTATACACAGGTGGTTATATACCAGGTTATGTGTTATACACAGGTGGTTATATACCAGGTCATGTGTTATACACAGGTGGTTATATACCAGGTTATGTGTTATACACAGGTGGTTATATACCAGGTCATGTGTTATACACAGGTGGTTATATACCAGGTCATGTGTTATACACAGGTGGTTATATACCAGGTCATGTGTTATACACAGGTGGTTATATACCAGGTCATGTGTTATACACAGGTGGTTATATACCAGGTCATGTGTTATACACAGGTGGTTATATACCAGGTCATGTGTTATACACAGGTGGTTATATACCAGGTCATGTGTTATACACAGGTGGTTATATACCAGGTCATGTGTTATACACAGGTGGTTATATACCAGGTCATGTGTTATACACAGGTGGTTATATACCAGGTTATGTGTTATACACAGGTGGTTATATACCAGGTCATGTGTTATACACAGGTGGTTATATACCAGGTCATGTGTTATACACAGGTGGTTATATACCAGGTCATGTGTTATACACAGGTGGTTATATACCAGGTCATGTGTTATACACAGGTGGTTATATACCAGGTCATGTGTTATACACAGGTGGTTATATACCAGGTCATGTGTTATACACAGGTGGTTATATACCAGGTTATGTGTTATACACAGGTGGGTATATAAAGTACACGACGGCTTCTGACTGGCAGGCTGCATGGGTGCTTTCTCTACAGTGCGATCAGATTACTGTGAGAATTGTGAGTAGTATATTTTTTCTGGAATAGATGTTTGAACTCATCTTATTATCCAAAGTGCTGAGGCTCTTTGGTCTCGCCTCTCAATGGGTGGTGCTGGTTACGATACGATACAGCTTATAGGGCTGTAGATACGATACAGCCTATAGGGCTGTATCGCATCTACATTTGAAACATGGTATAGAGTCTGCCGTCACCACCTGACTTCTTAGTGAGTTCCATTTATTCACTATCGCATTAATAAACTTATATCGAATATCTGTGTGGGTCATTTGGGTGCTCTGTTGACCCAGACCTCACACAAGAAGGTGAAGGGACGACGACGTTTCGGTCCGTCCTAGACCATTCTCAAGTCGATTGTGAGAATGGCCCAGGACAGACCGAAACGTCGTCATCCCTTCTCCTTCTAGTGTGTGGTCTGGTCAACATTCTTCAGCCACGTTATTGTGACTCCTCGCCTGCATTGGGTGCTCTGGTTCCGCTCCGAGTACCACCTAATTTACCTAATTGCCTAATTGTGCTTGCGGGGGTTGAGCTTGGGCTCTTTGGTCCCGCCTCTCAAAATTGCGCTTCTCAAAATACACCTGTATTACATAGTCTGCCCTGCCAACTCACCTGAGACGTGTTCACTAACAGGTATGATTTGTGCCTTGCACACGTATGTACAGAGTATTTGGAACAGGTGAGAATTTGGAACAGACGTTCTCAACATACCTGCACAAGTGTGATTGGTACATTTGGCACAGCTGTGCGATACAGTGACACCTGGCATCAATCACCAGACAATTAAGTCTTGACCGGCATGAGGGAACTTTCGCAAGTTGCTGAGAGTTAATTAGTAGCTACCGTTTGATCGCTTTCTTGTTGAGTGCCGTTATTGCAAGCCGAGCCGGAGGGCAGGTGAACCTTGGCCGGGATGTGAGGGCCAGGTGGCGTGGGCCAGGCGGCGTGGGCCAGGTGGCGTGGGCCAGGTGGCGTGGGCCAGGCGGCGTGGGCCAGGTGGCGTGGGCCAGGCGGCGTGGGCCAGGCGGCGTGAGCCAGGCGGCGTGGGCCAGGCGGCGTGGGCCAGGTGGCGTGGGCCAGGCGGCGTGGGCCAGGCGGCGTGGGCCGCGCGCCCCCTGCAACACCCACGACACACCGGGGGAATGCCACATGCCATGCAAGCGCCACTTGCCATGGGACGGTGGTCTCAGCCTGCCTGCAGGACTGGCAACCGCTCTTTCACTGGAGGAGGTTTATCACTGTTGCTCATCACTGGTGACTCGAATCTTTAGGCTCATCGCTGTAGGCTCACACACACACACACACACACACACACACACACACACACACATAATCACCAGGGGGGGGACATGATCACCACACAGGGGGACATGATCACCCCATTCAAGATTCTCAAAGGAATTGATAGGGTAGATAAAGACAGGCTATTTAACACAAGCGGCACACGAACTAGGGGACACAGGTGGAAACTGAGTGCCCAAATGAGCCACAGAGATATTAGAAAGAACTTTTTAGTGTCAGAGTGGTTGACAAAAGGAATGCATTAGGCAGTGATGTGGTGGAGGCTGACTCCATACACAGTTTCAAATGTAGATATGATAGAACCCAATAGGCTCAAGAACCTGTACTCCAGTTGATTGACAGTTGAGAGACGGGACCAAAGAGTCAAAGCACAACCCCCGCAAGCACAACTAGGTGAGTACAACTAGATGAATACACACACACACACACACAAATACGCACGCGCGCATGTGTGTGTGTGTGTGTACTCACCTAATTGTGCTTGCGGGGGTTGAGCTCTGGCTCTTTGGTCCCGCCTCTCAACCGTCAATCAACTGGTCTACAGATTCCTGAGCCTATTGGGCTCTATCATATCTACATTTGAAACTGTGTATGGAGTCAGCCTCCACCACATCACTGCCTAATGCATTCCATTTACTAACTACTCTGACACTGAAAAAGTTCTTTCTAACGTCTCTGTGGCTCATTTGGGTACTCAGCTTCCACCTGTGTCCCCTTGTTCGCGTCCCACCAGTGTTGAATAGTTCATCCTTGTTTACCCGGTCGATTCCGGGTTGTGTGTGTGTGTGTGGGTGTGTGTGTGTGTGTGTGTGTGTGTGTGTGTGTGTGTGTGTGTGTGTGTGTGTGTGTGTGTGTGTGTGTGTGTGTGTGTGTGTGTGTGTGTGTGTGTGCACTGTGTGTGTGTGCGCGCGCGTGTTGAGGATGGTTACAGTGATGAAGAAGGTGTACAGTGAGCGTGGCCTCAGACATGAAGACAGTGTGTAGTGAAGATGTTTACAGTGAGGAGCGTGTTCGCTGATGTGCCCTTCCTCACCCGAACAAAACCGGGTGCCCGAACAACACCGGGCACCCCAACAACACCGGGCGCCCCAACAACACCGGGCGCCCCAACAACACCGGGCGCCCCAACAACACCGGGCACCCCAACAACACCGGGCACCCCAACAACACCGGGCGCCCCAACAACACCGGGCTCCCCAACAACACCGGGCGCCCCAACAACACCGGGCGCCCCAACAACACCGGGCGCCCCAACAACACCGGGGGCCCCAACAACACCGGGCGCCCCAACAACACCGGGCGCCCCAACAACACCGGGCACCCCAACAACACCGGGCGCCCCAACAACACCGGGCGGGCCCCAACAACACCGGGCGCCCCAACAACACCGGGAGCCCCAACAACACCGGGCCCCCCAACAACACCGGGCGCCCCAACAACACCGGGCGCCCCAACAACACCGGGCGCCCCAACAACACCGGGCGCCCCAACAACACCGGGCGCCCCAACAACACCGGGCGCCCCAACAACACCGGGCGCCCCAACAACACCGGGCGCCCCAACAACACCGGGCACCCCAACAACACCGGGCGCCCCAACAACACCGGGCGCCCCAACAACACCGGGCGCCCCAACAACACCGGGCGCCCCAACAACACCGGGCGCCCCAACAACACCGGGCACCCGAACTAGTGAAGTGTTCCTAATAAAAGTATTAGGCATTCTTGTGGAAAAACGGGAGAGGGCGAAGCCAAACAATTTTGTAGCACAATCGATATAACACTCGAGGAATGGATAAACTCGAAACACATGATCCAGACATAGAAAATACTCACCCGCGGAAACACTCACTATATTCGAGTAGCAGCAACAGGCTTAGAATGTAGACCAATAAACGACGTTTCTTCCAATGACAGAGATGACAAAACGAAAAAAGAAGGGAAGGGGGGGGGGGGGGCGTTCAAGTCATTTCATTATGTCAGTTACAAAGTTGGGGTCCAGGAGATGTAGCCTGACCCAGCCGACGCAGTAAGGAACACAAACTCATTCACGGACGCTCATAAACCAGCTATATAAACCTTTCTTACGTAAACTCTCATAAAAAAGCTAAATACAGATACACATTTCATCATGACAAGAAAATAGCCCACAGGTCGCAATTTTGGTGGCTAATGTGAACACCTTTAACTCTAGTAGTTGGTACAAGATTTCCTTCAAAACTGCCTTGCGTGACCAAGATTATCATGTTGAGTTGCCATGGGGCTGGATAATGCCGCGAGTTGCCATGAGTCTGGATAATCCTGCGAGTTACCATGGGGCTGGGTAATGACGCGAGTTGCCATGAGTCTGGATAATCCTGCGAGTTACCATGGGGCTGGATAATGCCGCGAGTTGCCATGGGACTGGTTAATGACGCGAGTTGCCATGAGTCTGGATAATCCTGCGAGTTACCATGGGGCTGGGTAATGACGCGAGTTGCCATGAGTCTGGATAATCCTGCGAGTTACCATGGGGCTGGATAATGCCGCGAGTTGCCATGGGACTGGTTAATGACGCGAGTTGCCATGAGTCTGGATAATCCTGCGAGTTACCATGGGGCTGGGTAATGACGCGAGTTGCCATGGGACTGGGTAATGCCACGAGTTGCCATGGGGCTGAACAATGACCCAGGTTATCACGAGAGAGTGGGAGAGAGGGAAAGTGGGCCAGGGGTATAGAGACCCGGACAACGCCGGGTACCCGGTAGTAAATAAATATGTTAAAATCTTGCACAAAGAAATCACATTAACGTGATGTATCGCTTAACAAATCAGTAGAAGTCATCATGAGGATTCGAACCCGCACACTGGGTACTCCCACGTTAATGTGATTGCTTCGTGCATTTGAAGCACTGCAACAGAACTCCCACAGCCAGAGTGCAAGCGGTCAATATGTCTGAAACCCTGATTGGGGTTTAGTGGAAACCTCAGGACCCCCTTAGCCGAGAGGATTCAATTGAATCCCAGGTTGCATTGCGTTTTAGCATGTCGTGGCTGAGTTGGTTAAGGCGTATGCATGGGAGTATGCCCAGAGGCTTATTTAGTCATGTTAACGCCAGCTCCTAACCACTTTGGCTGGACGGTAGGTCGACGGTCTCGCTTCATGCAGGTCGGCGTTCAATCCCCGACCGTACAAGTGGTTGGGCACCATTCCTTCCCCCCGTCCCATCCCAAATCCTTATCCTGACCCCTTCCCAGTGCTATATAGTCGTAATGACTTAGCGCTTTCCCCCCTGATTGTTCCTTCCTTTCCTGCATCCGGAGTAGGATACCCAGCAATAGCCGCTGAATCCGGCTCTAGCTCCTGGACCCGGCTAGCCGCTGGTAACTTTTACAATCCAGTTCTGTTTCTATCATCCCGTATGTAAGGTATAACTAATCTATTGAGATCTATTGAAGGCTTACAGGGACCTATTGGAAGCCTGTATGACACCATATCATAATATGTCCAGCCCAAAATATGTTATCTCAGAAAATGCTGTTAATATTTGATGAGTAATAAAATCGAACCAATGTCCAGGTTGTTCCAGAACAACACGCTACCACTACGCCACAGTGAGAATCAATTGTATTTGGATGCTAATGTTCATAGTGTCAGATTTACATTCGATAACCAGAAAGTTTTAGAAAACGTGTTCGTTATCGTTCAGGTCAGGACGAAGTTTAGTAAATTGTGCAAAGCGGTTTGTGCAAACACCTTTTTGTCTAAAATCAAAATTGTCTATTTGCTGGAATGTATTTTTCACCTTCCATGTACTGCGTTAATGACGTGACGTAACGTGACGTAACGTGACGTAACTTTACGTCTTTTGTTGTGTTAAAATTGTGGAGAATAGTCGCTGCTGTTGTTTGTCCTCACCGACTGACGGGAGGGTTAAACTAACAAACTAACAAACTAAACAAACTAACGAGGTTAGCGAGACCGCTGTGCTAACGTACAAACCAACCAGCAAATACACGGTAGCTCTCAACATACTCCAGGGTTAAAGTATACTTTCGAGGGTATACACCAAGACGCTCTGTGTAAAGTGACAGAGCAGTTTACGTCAAGGGCTTCTGTGTATAGAAGCCTTCACGTGAGTAAACTTAACATTCACCTGCACATGAAGATCAGATATAAGCAGTTATACCATCGTGAGTGTAGTAACGCAAGCGTATAACTTATTAATATAATAAAGGCTTCTAAAAGGCTTCTTCTAAAGGTTCTAAACCCAACACCTGTTCCCCCCAGGTCGCTCCAACCTCCCAAAACCTCAGTGTGCGATCAACTTAGTATGCCGCGAGCATGTCTAATCTCATTAATATTTTATCCTTGTGTGTTTACGGATTAAACTGTGAATTATTTTTAATTTGTAATATTCTACAGACAATCGCAGGTTTTTACCACAATTTAGCATGTTACTAAATGAATTCAGGTTTTTGGAGAACTACAAGACTGTCTGATTCTTTTTCTCAACTAATCTGTCAGGATTTTTTTTTTACGAGCTGTCACGTGAAGCTGTCCTCTGTTGAGGGCTGTCACGTGAAGCTGTCCTCTGTTGAGGGCTGTCACATGAAGCTGTCCTCTGTTGTGGGCTGTCACGGGAAGCTGTCCTCTGTTGTGGGCTGTCACGGGAAGCTGTCCTCTGTTGTGGGCTGTCACGTGAAGCTGTCCTCTGCTTCGGGTTGTCACGGGAAGCTATCGTCTGTAGAAGGCTGTCATGACGATAGTGTGACACAGAAACCTGTCACGGTTTAACTGTGAGTAACGTGATGCCTGGAAACGGACAGACAGTCCAGATCTAACTCAATAACGCCAGTGTGTTCCGCTGGACGAGCCGGAGTTGAACCAATTCTCCCGCTCGATGGAAATGGAATTGCCTCCCACAGGGAAATATAAATTGATGATTTTATTTGGCTTTGTTTTTTGTTTTTTTAATGGAATAGGAACAAGCGTTGTCAAGCATGTGGGGTGAGTGTGTGTGTTTGTGTGTGTGGAGGAGAAAGATAGTTATTGCTGCGTGGTCTGACCACTCACCTGTCGGTCTGGACTATATATAGAGTAATATATGAGCCTATATAGAGTAATATATGAGCCTATATAGAGTAATATATGAGCCTATATAGAGTAATGGATGAGCCTGACGGGTCATCACCACAAACGATCACATTCACTTCAAAAACACTTATGGGTTATTCATGCCCGTGCCACCTCTTGGGTGGCTTAATCTTCATCAATCACTCTGCCTGGACAAAGGAATCATAAAGTATTTACATGTTTACTTACGGAACCTTTACATCTCTTTTAATTATGGCGACTTAGTTTCCATTTATTGGGAAACAGTTTGTGATCCTTGAAGCACTACGGATTTATTTATTTATAATAATAACCCAAGGTTGTGAAGTTTGTTTTCTCGTGAACTGCTTCATAAATGAAGACTAAGGCGCCTCTCTCCCTCTCCTCCTTCCTCCATCCCTCTCTCCCTCTCCCTCTCTTCCTCTCCCCTCTCTCCTTCCTTTTCCATAACCCAACAATTCCGAACACCTAAATTTCATTACTCGCATTTTGTTTCAGGTTCATCTTCCCGTTGATAGTGTTTTATAGAGACACAAACCGCATCACCACAGGTGCGTCTGAAGACTGCCAGGTTAAAAACTGCACCAGTGTTCGCCTCACTCAACACTCTGCCTTATGTATTTAGTCATTTATTCACAAATATTCTTGGTACAGCGAAACTTAAGCTTTTCTTGCATCTTCTGTATTAGGTTTGCCTCCTTATTTAAATTTCTCGCCCCCTTTATTGTCTGAGAGAGTGGCTTTATCAGACCACTGTTGGTGCTTCTGTTTTATGCAGACGGTATTTGAGACTGTGTAAGATAGGGGGTGTGGGAAGAAGGGATATATATATATATATATATATATATATATATATATATATATATATATATATGTCGTACCTAGTAGCCAGAACGCACTTCTCAGCCTACTATGCAAGGCCCGATTTGAATAATAAGCCAAGTTTTCATGAATTAATGGTTTTTCGACAACCTAACCTACCTAACCTAACCTAACCTAACTTTTTCGGCTACCTAACCAAACCTAACCTATAAAGATAGGTTAGGTTAGGTTAGGTAGGGTTGGTTAGGTTCGGTCATATATCTACGTTAATTTTAACTCATATAACAAAAATTAACCTCATACATAATGAAATGGGTAGGTTTATCATTTCATAAGGAAAAAAATAGAGAAAATATATTAATTCAGGAAAACTTGGCTTATTAGGCAAATCGGGCCTTGCATAGTAGGCTGAGAAGTGAGTTCTGGCTACTAGGTACGACATATATATATATATATATATATATATTTTTATAAATTTGTGAGGGTACCACCTCTGGTGCCAATGTGGGGACCCATAGCCTCGGAGAAGAAAATAAAAGTATTCAGAGGAGACCTTGTGGTTTCTCACTGCACACTAATATTATCTTCTCCTACCACCCCCATTCTTTTGTATGTACACATATATATTTACTTTATTTGAACTTTGTTACAAAAAAGGAGTTACATATGGGTTACAAAGATGGTTGTCATAGGTTGTCGAGTTCCTCCAGCTCCTCAGATGGCGGGCAGGAACCCTGGATGCAGTGCGCATTTCCCCACTGTATCGCCACACTGAGGCGCTGGAAAAGAA